CTCGTTAGACGAGGAAATCAATTTGATAAGAAAACGGTATGGGTCGGGTTTAACAGTACTGAAGTATCGCTGTGAGATGTGGATGAAACAAAAACAACGGTTCGTTCGATCCAAGTGGTCACGATCTGCGGCGCTGAATTTTGATCTGCAACTAAAACAGAGTCAGAGCGCAATCCGATGGTCCTGCAGCGAGCGATGGAACGAAGGATATGTCAGGTCTTCCTGTGGACTCAGGATCACAAAGCATACGTTCGACAATGGACTGGATCAACAGAAGTGATTGGTGCTTTCTCTGACACCCGCAGAAGAAGATCAAACGATGTAGTCTGCCTGTGAGACAACCGGTGGACGTCAAGAATTACAAACTGTGTTCCGTTGACCCTAAGCGCCGACTGTGTCATCCAAGAACATGCTTGATCCGCGGTTGACCAGCGATGAAGCCAGAAAGCGAAAATCATGGAACATTAAATGGGCAGAGACTAGCGTTCATGGCGCGCAAAAGGCGAGGACGAATTGCATTGATAATGGGTATTAAACATTGTATTAAAGTGTTTGTGAAGTAAATCGATGTGCAATCGATGAGGGAACAATGACTTTCTTAAAATTGCAAACGTGAGTTCATCTGAACCTCAAGAAACGACAATTCTATGAAAATCCTGCAGCTACTGAGAAATCGTCATCGTGTTTGCATGAGAAAATATATTTCATAAAGTCAACCCAAGAAAAGTAATCAACATCATCAACGTCTCTCTTTCCATGAGAAGAAACCAAAGAGATTTCAGATGTCTATCCTTTCATGGATAACATATTTAAGTACAGTAGAGAGCTCGGTAGCAAGCATATCGTTTCCAGGTATAAGTATTTTTTCACTAGAGCTTTCCTATAGCTAGAACCTTAAAACTTCGGAATAATTTCTTTTTTATTGCTCTTCATTTAGTCTAAACAGTATTATCCACGGAACTTAGCTCGGTTGTTGTTCGACAAACATCATGATACGGTTTTGCATCCATGCTTTGCAACTTGTTCTGTAATACCATGGAACCCTGGCTGTCTAAATAGCCTCCTAGGTCTCTAGAAGAATCGGAGCGGCGCAAATATGCCTGCAAAGACAGAAAATGATTCGTATTGTTTAAATTGCCTTTTCATTTTTGCGCCTGCATGCCGCGGTCTTCAAACATATATCAAGGTTATATGATTTTCAAGTACACATGGATAGTGAATGCAAAATATCCTGTTTATTCGATTTACGGGGTAAAATAACCATAAAAACATACCGGATTCCATGTACTTCAACAGCTTGGCCCGTATTTCAGGCTTTAGCCGGTTGGTGACGTTCAAGTACTGCATGACGATGATGTCAGGAACGAAATTAATCATGTTCTGTTCGCCGCAGCCGTATGGCATTTGAATCAGATTGTCGATATTGTTAAATATCGGTCCCATTATATCGCCTGAAAATTTCTTCCGCTGTATGGTGTTGTATAAAAACTTTTGCCTCATTACCAATCACTGAAACGTCCGCCTTTTCAGAGCCCTTGATAACGCTTCCTAAGATCTGCAGAGAAGATTTGAAGTTGAAAGACTTCTTGGTCCGTAGGTCAATGATGACTGGAGTGTTGGCAAATACAGGATAACCCTCTGCCTTAAGGAAAACAGTAAAATCCGGGAAGGAGGATAAAGAAACATATACAAAGCTTACTTCAACGATCAGAGGCATCTGTACAGCATCAGCAGCAGAAGTCGCTTGCGCTTTCACCTTAAGGTCTATAGTGCCAATCTTCGTAGGCCTTATGGGAAAATAGACCGCAGCAGATCCGCCCTTGCCAGGAACCTGTTATAAAACCCGTTTTATAATGCGGTGCAACACTAAGCCACTCTTACGTTGATTGTCCTTATGTTGAGCGACGTTTTATCCTTCGTGCCTTTCTTCGATGTTTTCTGTACAAATTCGAAGCCGCTGTTTGCGTTGTGTTCTAAGGTCAACGTAACCTGAAAATCAACATATCAGCGCTGTCAAATCAGTATTCGCGTGACTAGCACAATTAGAATAAGGCATATAAGGTAATTTGCATATTTCTTACCGTTTCCTGCTTGTCCATGTAGTTGAACACCAGCACTTGCAAAGCCATCGATTCCCCGCGCTTTACCGAATACGGTAGGTTAAGACGAACAAAGAAAGGTCGAAACACCTCTAACTAAACGAGAGACACTGTAATAGTTAAGTAATTTCACTCAAGTCGAAGGTCTCATATTCACACCATGAGGCTCATCTAGCGGACAAAACGAATTAAGCATTCAACAACTGAAACCAACTGAGTCATCACAGCGTTGCGATGAGAACCACTGGCGGAAAAGTCCAGCCAAGAATACTTATACTTCATGTCGGACGGACTTTCGTTAACAAAATGATCAGACGAAGTCAGTTGTCAATTATTAGACCTAAGAAGCTGTATCAAAACACGTAATAATTTGTTGGCGTTTTCTAAACCTAATCATGATTACTGAAGTCAGCAATGGGCTTGCAAACTCTGCATTTCAAAGAGAAGTTCAGTAATATTCAGGTAACGCTTGGTTAGAAAGAGGCGTTTGGTCGAAGTAGCACTTGGTTAGAAAAAGTTTTAAATTTGAATAAAGATTTGGCCTAAGTGGCGTCAGGCCTTTGGTCAAGATAGGATCAGTGTCTGTTTGAGACTTTGGTCAAGATGGGCGCATGATTACTCCACAGGTCTGAATAAGAAGGATTTGGGTAGAGAAAAATCATCGCAACTGGCCTACGATTGAGATATAACTAGTATTGTTCTGCCTTAGGTCCTTCCTTTATGATCACCAGAAGTCGAGATAGACCTTATACCTGAGTGAGTGAGTGAGTGAGTGAGTGAGTGAGTGAGTGAGCGAGTGAGTGAGTGAGCTAGTGAGTGAGTGAGACTGCCCACATGATGCCTCACGACCCCACGCTTTTCGACTACTAGTCTGGTTACTGCTATATAATCTACTAGTCTGGTTACTGCTATATAGTCTGGTTACTGCTGAATAATTAGGTTATATGGCCCTTTGACGATCAGGGCATAAGATAAATATGTTTTCCCTGACTTTCAGTAGGATAAACTACTGAATGGAGCGAAGCTAAGGAAGATTTGTAAGCAATAAACAAATTGTAAACATGTCATAATCAGCCAACCTTTGCAGTGTTCGGAGAAACTCCTAAGCCTTGATTTTCGTTGATTGCAAACGCGCTCGCGATCCAAGACGTTATTGTGTCCGGAATCACAGCTGTATACTGCGCCTTTCCGTTGGCACTAAATAAAAGAAATTAAGGAAATTGGTGAGACTCTCGTAAAACGCTTTCATTTCAAAACTATACTGCAACTATTTCTGATTTTCATTGGTTTAAGATGCAAATAATTTAAAAGCCATGGTTGTTCATCATGTAAACATTTTCACTTTAAGTTTGAGTTAATGAGAGGGGCAATATTTTTGCTGGGGTATGCTTCGTCACTCCAACAACATTATAGTCTGAATATGCTAAAGTCATATATCTATTAAAGCATCTACAACTTATCGGCGGTGCATCAACGACCAGATAGTGACCAATATAAAATGAGCAATCTGGGACTAACGACAGTGGTGCTAGGCGGTTACAGCGATCCTACCGCTGTCAAGATGGGACCAAGAAAGTAAGGCCAGGCCAAATCCTGACATGTAACATGGATGCTATTATTAAATATGGAAGACGGGATCCTAAATACGCTGAAAGTAAAGGAGGATTGCAACACTTGTGATATTTGTTTTCTTAATACTTCGAAGTACTTGCCGGAAAGCAAGATTTTCAAACGGTTTACTCTGCATATAAATTTTACTTAATATTACCCTAACGTTACCGGTCGAGCTAAATTCATCTTCAGGAGAACGCTATATCATAGCAGTCGTACAATAAAATGTAACATTTTGGCATTAGAAAATTTTACATTATACATGTCATCATAATATATAATGCTGATATATAATGTTATATCATGTAGTTATATAATGACCCCTGAGATGGATCAAGGTTTACAATGTTAAATAAAAAGTAAAATCATCTTTTGATGACCTTAGGGCAAAGAAACCTTAAAGCAGCATAAAAAGTTTACGCAATCTTTTTAAAACGAGAAAAACGGAAAATTGAATTCCCGGTAAAGTAAATTAAGCCTCACAAATGATTTTGGAGTCAAGAATTCTTTTTTCCAACGCCCTTTGTAATCTACTGTATTATTACAAAACGAAAAGTCAAAATTCCGACTGCTTAAGCATGTAGTAAGAACCGGGGCTCTCCATAAAGTCACATGACAGCTGACCACGTGATTGCTTTAAGACCAGGTGACTAAATTTACTGAACGGTTCGGTTTCTCTTAACTTTTAATCTGCCCGCCGAGCTACTTTGACTAATAGAAAACTGGAGCAATTGGAAACACCTTCTGAAGTTGCTGCCCTATCAACTCAGAGAGAATATCGGACTACAAGCTTGAATGAATGAGCGGACTGGTAGATGAATGAATGAACGACTAAATGAATGAAGAAGTGAAATGAAAGTTAAATAAGGGAAGGAATCAATGAATGATGAATAAATAAACAACAAATAAAAAAAGCGAAGAAAGAAAAGAAATAACACTAACAAATAAATAAAGGAAGAAGAATAAACAAAAGATCATCAAACTAGGAATAAACATAGAACTGTTGAATACATAAGTGAATGAATTCAGGAATGACGGCATAACCCAAGAAAATAATGAATTAATGATAGAAAGAACAAACGAATTCATGAATGAATTAACAATCAGACAAATAAACATAAATCAACAAAAGCAGAAGCCTGCTGCTGCTGCTATGAATCCTGAAGCAAGGAACACGTCACTGGAGTGAAATTTCAAGCGACCATTGACACACTGTAAAATGACTTTGTATGAAAACCCTAGTTAAATAATAAAAAATGTATTTTTAACGTCGATGCCCAATGAAGAATACTGAGCTGCAAAATCTATAGCTTTAACAATATAGTCATTAACAAGCTTACCTTGTCTTAAAATCTGTCCATATCCATGTTTCCGGGAAATGAACACGCACGTGCGGTGGGCTACCCGCTTGAGCGGGTTGAGCAACCATGGGTGCATCTTCCTCGACCATATTTGGCACAGCTTCCATATCAATAGTAGTTGTCGCTTCTTTGGCCAACATTCCTCCGGTCATCGCCAAGGGTCGTACGAATCCTGCATATGCCCGTTGATAAGCTGCAGAAAACGCCCCAAATGCAAAATGAGTGAAAATTTTAAGAAACTGATTTTACGACAAGCGAAAATAGCAGATACCTATATATCCCTACGTTTGCAAGCAATTTCCAAACACTGGCTGCTATAAAATTTACTTGATTTTGCAAATATAAAAGATAATTCAGCGAAGTATGCTTTCCTTGTGCAACCCTTTCGAATCAATCATTAATTCAGTGAATTTATGTTTGATTACAGAAGAAATAAAGCAGTTTCCGCTTTAACCGGATTATATTTAAGTGGAATATTAACATCTTCCAGTACCAAATGTCAAACATCGTTTGCTGCATTGAGCATGGGGACGTTAAACACACACGGCCTTACTATGCTGCTTGGAGAAGAACTGATTTGGATGAAAATACAAGGACTGCAGTGCAACATACGCCCTGGCATAGAACAAGCTTTGTGACCGCTGAAAACTAAAGCAACGCAAGAATACATCAGAAGGCTCTGCTCACAGAGGCGACGCTGCACTGGCAGACAGTAGAAGGCAGACGAAGCTATTGGACTGTGGTGTTTGGCAAGGTTCACGTCCAGGTACAAGGAACTGTACTTCACGATAGCTGGTTGTTATGCTTCTCGATGCTGTAGCAAAGAGAGTAAAGGAGAATTTTGCCACAGGCAGAGTCTGTCACTGCAACAGTGTTGAATCCATGATATCTTGCATACTCTGATTAATTCTAGTGTGAAACAGAGAATACAGAACGAGTTGTACGAATGACTGTGATCACACGGCATCGGCGGCATGAATAGTAATAGTAAATGACTAGTAGAAATACGTGAAGTGCAGTGCATAAAAGCACATGGCCTTCTCCCAGTGAATCAGCATCATCCCAAACGGGAAACTGAATTGACTCTGCTATCATCACTATAAATGCTTGAGTCCTCGAGCATGCCTAGATGTCCCGAAATACTGAAGTACGGAAGGCAGCAACGATCATGAGTTGGCGGTGGGTGGAGTTATGCTCTGATCCTTGATTCGCTGCCGACTTCTTCATTGTTAGAAGTCGACAATCTCAAATTTCCAGAAGTATCATAAGCATATGGTCGCAATTGGTGGAAGATACAGACAGCTTATGATGCATTGGTGGAGAAGTATGGAACTTATGCAAACCAGCAGTAACAAGAATGGTAGGGGAGCAATTCGGTACGAAGAAAAGACGAGTACAACCGAAGATATGTTTAGAAACTAAGCGATTATAATTGTAGAGCAGATTGACAAAGTTTGGCAACAATTAAATCTTCAGACGAGAAGTACAAAGAAATTAAAAGACCAGTGGAGAAAAAAACAGAGAAACTGCTTCTGCATGAGGAAAGCTGAAATACTGGAAGATACGGTTCAGAAAAACGATATGAAGGAATTGTGCAGGGAATTTAGTTGCTACTTCGACAAAAAAGTTTGAAATAACAACTGTTAATAAGGAAGACGGTCATCCCACGTCGAATCCTACAGTCCTAATTGTACGGGGTTATAAAGATATTGGGAATAGACCAAACCCTGAAATAATTGTTAAACTAGATTCCCCGTATTGAGATCATATCTAG